CCTGTCTGGGTCTCGCTCTCTCGGTCGGGCCCGGGGCTCGCGAGTCCCCAAAGTATCTTCCATAGCCCGGTTCTTGTCCCCGCCCGGAAACGACCCGAGAGCAACAACCAACCACAAGTTTCCCAGGCAGGTGGCCTGGCTTAAGGACCGGGCAGCGGCTGCTCACCTGTGCGCACGCGCACTCGCCCTCGGGCGGTCCCGAGAGGTGACCTGCCCCTGGCCGCCAGGGGGCGGTCGTGGTGCTCGGCGGAGGAGGGGGGAGTAGAGGTGGGGGATAGGCTCTTGTTGAAATAGCTGTCAGTCCTAGGTGTTATGGGATTAACAAAAGTTAAGTGGTCCAGAGAGCAGGTGATGGGATGTGGCCAAATCAGCTCGGCCTTCAAACGATGTCTCTTATGTAGAGGCATCAGGAAGCCAGACCAATCATCTGCTTATTTACTTTCATGGTACTGGGTTTTAATCGCAGGATTTTGCTTGTCTAGGTAAGTGTGCTACAGGGATACATACCCAGTTCCAAACTAAGATCATTAAACCCGCTAAGACAGTTTCATGCCACTGGGCATGGGTTTGAGCCTCCCGATAGAGAGCTTAGCAGTGGGAGGAGTTGGTAACTTTTTTTTTGGGGGGGGAGTTGGTAACTTGGCTGTCTGCTCTCAACTTGGGTGCAGTGACTCCACTCCCAGCCAGTGAAGCCAGCAGTGGTGGTTTCCTGTGGATCAATGTACAAAGCATCTTGGACTTGCTTCCCTAGGTCGTACCCATCTACTCATCCGCCCAGCCGGCCCTATATCCACCCACTCACCCATGCAACCTCCCATCCACTGTTCCCCTCACTCCTTAGAGAAGCTGTGTTGCCAGTCCGTCTATTGGAATATCCCCAGACTTATAAAACACATTTTATAAAAATAATTATTGTATTCATAATCATCAGACTTTAATTTTGCCAAAGTAAGGACAGTTTAAAAATCCAGAAAAGTGGCCTGTTCTTTCAGCAAGGTGCAGGAGCACCCGACTCAGACCGTGCAGGAGATGTTTCAGGGAAGTCCTCTTGGACAGAGCTAGTGCTCCGGTGTGTGCAGAGACTGGACAAGATTGTGCAAAGGCAATGCTCGACAATTAGTGGGAGGACTCTGCTCTGTGTGGACCGAGGAATCGGTGACTTGGGGAGCTATTTTTAAATTGTGGTTTTCAAGCTAATGAGGTTCTGAGGGAATGCCTGCTTGGAGACCCACTCTGACTGTTGAGCTGACCCCTGATTCCCAGATGTGAGTCTGGTGATATCCCCTGTGTCTCCAGCCCTCACCATGGGCAGAACATATGCTCCAGCTGGGCTGAGAGGTGCCCCCTGGGTGGGCTCTGAAGGAGGGTTATAGCAACAGGCAGTGTCTTTCCTGAGCTTTACGTACAGTACTGTTTCAGCATTTCATTTCTCATACCTGGAAGTACATCCCTCTGTGGTTCCCATCCATACAGAATAGGTGTTAGGAGCAGCCAGAAGTCTTTGTGATCCCTGAAAGAGTTGCAACTGGCTCATCCATGCAGTTTCAACTCTGCTTTGAGAATGCTATGAACTGGTCTCCTGGCCACTTCTGCAGAGGCTTTGGTGCCAAGCTCTATGCCAGGCTCTGCCAATGTTACCACCAAGGCTACAAAGATGCAGAGCTAGAGCCTCACAAACTCCAGAGGACTGCCCTCCCTCACCCCTGCATTCAGCTATGGCTCCGTACCACCCTGCAGAATGTTAATCTCTGAAATCTCTTTTCTGCCCCTACTCAATAGCTTAAAACCTGAATCACCTGGTACCACTGGTGGAGCACACCTGCAATTCCAGCATATGATCTCTGTAAATCACATGTTGGAAGGTTGAAGCATGAGGATTGCCACCAGTGTGAAGCCAACCTTGTCTATATAGTGAGCTCCAGGCTAGCCCAGGCTACATAGCAGTAACTGTCTCAAAAAAAGGGGGGGGCTGTGTCTCACTGGTAACAAGCATGTCTCAGGCCCTAGGTTCAATCCTCAATACCACCAAAAAAATTAGAAAGGAAATCATTGACACTAGGCTGAGGAGATTGCCCAATGAGTACTTGCTACTCAAGTGTGAGGACTTGAGTTCAGATCCCCCAGAACCTGTATAAAGCTGGCTGCGGTAGCTCACATCTGTATCCAGGTGTTCCTACAATGAGATGGGATATGGAGATAGGGGATTCCTCCCAGAAGCTAGCCTGGAGTGTGCAGCGGTGAGCAAGAAACCCTGACTAAACAGGTGCAAAATGAGTATACACACCCAGAATTGTCCTTTGACCTCCACAAATATGCCATGCTTGCATTCACAATGGAGCACGCGCGCGTGCGCGCGCGCGCACACACACACACACACACACACAGAGAGAGAGAGAGAGAGAGAGAGAGAGAGAGAGAGAGAGAGAGAGAGAGAGAGATCCAAAGTGTGACCCAAATTGGGGACCTTAGGTCAAATGCCCCAACCTGTGAGCTCCATCACAAGCTTCTGAAACACAATGAAGGGGCAGCCATGGGCAGCCATTTTCACTCCAAAAGTGAGAAGTGGAAGGGAAGAGAGGGAGAGCATGTGTTAGCCAAATCCTGAGCCAGCCAGGCTTCCCTCAGACAGCCCACACCTGGCTATCCTGGCATGTCTTTCTGACCACTGTCTCCTCTGTTTGATTTTCACCTTCTTTCCAGGGTTCAGTTCACTAAGTAAATACTATATATTTGTGTTTTTATAAATGGGTCTATTGTTTGGCTGTACCTTGCAAAGTAAGTTCCATGAAGGCGGGCACTTATTGTGTTCCCTGTTATGTCCCCAGTGCCTAGAACATGCCACCTGTTCAATGAATGATTGAGTGAGTAGCACTGCTGGATGAACAGGAGGGAGCTACATGGGTGCCACTGCCAGGAAACCAGCTCTGATCTCCTCCCAGATGAAGGTGGCCTCACTTTTAAACGTCCCTAGGATTTTGCTTCGGGCACTTTGGTATTTTCCCCTCTGCTTTCTTTCTCTCTTTCATTCATTATTAAGACACCCCCTCCCCCAATCCCACTAAAGGCAGGGTCCCTGAGTCATCTCTAGATGCCTTCCCAGTGCATGAGCAGTCAGGATTTGCTGAGGGGCCATGCAGATGGCTCACTGTCCTTTGTGCCTCTCTGAGTAGGGCTTTGCTGAGCAGATAGGGCCTGAGGTTTCTTTGTGACAGGCTGGGAAGTTTTCAAGAAGGGAAAAAGTGTGTGTGTGTGTGTGTGTGTGTGTGTGTGTGTGTGTCTCATAGGAATGTATGTGTTCAATTGCTGTGTACACATATGAATGTGTATGTGTGCCTCTGTGCGAAGGCCAGAGTTAACAGTTGGGTGTCTTTGTTCATCACTCTCCACCATATTTTTTGAGACAGGGTCTCTCAGTGAACCTGGAGCTATATGGTTAGGCTGTCTGGCCAGAGAACTTCAAGAATCCAGTTGGGCTGCCAGCTGATGAACTGCAGAGATCTTCCTGTCTCCATTGCCACCCCTTCTGTCCAGCACTGGGGTTATGAGTGCCAGCCACCATGCTTGGCTCTTTACAAAGCTTTTTGGTAATCTGAATTCAGGTCCTGGTGCTTGTATAGCAGGCATTTTACTGGATGAGCCATCTCCCGACCCATCTGGAAAGAGACAGGGTCCAGTAGGACCTCAAAGTTGCTATGTAGGTAAGGATACCTACTTGAACTCCTGATCCTCCCTCCTCCACCTCCTAGTGCTCAGATTGCTGGCATGCACCAACATGCTTAGCTCCCACTGTGCTGGGAATCAAACTCAGGGATTTGTTCACTCTAGACAAGCACCCTACCAACTGAGCTATATCTTGGTCCTATTTTTAAAAATGATTTATTTATTTTTATTTTATGTGCATTGGTATTTTACCTGCATGTATGTCTGTGTGAGGGTGTCGGATCCCCTGAAGGTAGTTACAGGCAGTTGTGAGGTGCCATGTGGGTGCTGGGAATTGAACCCAGATCCTCTGGAAGAACAGTCAGTGCTCTTAACAGCTGAGCCATCTCTCCAGTCCCAAGTCCTATTTTTTTTAAATTTTATTTATTTAATTATTTTTGAGACAGGGTCTTATTCTGTAGCCCAGGCTGGCCTGGCATCCTCTTGCCCTGAGTGGTAGGAATCCATCATACCCATCATGGAAAGCCTTCTCAAGGTCCAGTTGTCTCCTGACATTTCAACCCTCTGTGAAGGTTGCCAATCTGCTAACAACAACAATAAAGGCCATGACAGTCTTTCCAGCCCCATATAGCTCTCCATGACCGGGACCTGCCCCAGAGAGGGTTCCGATGCTCCTGCCCTGTGATCCTGAGTTTTTGTGAGTCCCAGAACAGATAGACTCAGGACTGGCTGCATAAGTTGTGGGGACAGGCTCCAAATGGAAAAGTATACATCTTGATTAAATATGAATTGTAGGATGGTGACAAGAAGGCATTAAATCCCCATTTAAGATTTTAATATGCTTATTCTCTGAGAATTTCGTAAGGTCGTACAATCTTTTATGATCATTTCCATTCTCCCATTTCTCCTCTTCATTTCTTCCTAGATTTCTCCAACACTATCTCCTAGCAGCTTCTGCTTCACACCTTCCTCTCTGTCCTCCTCTCCTCCTCTTCCTCCTTCTCTTCTTCTTCATCCAGTTCATGCTGTCCCATGTGAATAAACATTCGGAGTCGCCCACTGGAGCACGGGGAACCTACCAGTGGTTACAAACCCATCAAAAAATGTCTCTTCTTCCCTTAGCAGCCATTACCTGCCAACAGGTCCTTAGCTAGGGGGGAGGCCTCACCAACACCCCCCCATCCACCCTGGAATTTTGACTATCTTACTCTTGTTTGGGTAGCTGTAGAGAACATTTCACAACTCCATCCTCTGCTTCCTACATTCTTTCTGCCCCTTCTTCTGTGATGTTCCCTGAACCTTGGGAGGTGTGGTTGATATAGCTATGGGTCCCTTTTAAGCATGGGCCTCACTCTGTGTGATTCCACTGGGCTCCTGTCCACAACATAGGCCCTAAGTAGGAGGCAGCAGAATGTGCTAGATGGCTTCTGAGTCTTGTCATCAAAGGTGATACATCTCTGGAGATGCTTCAGCTTAGCACATAGCTACAAGGTTGTGCAGGATCCCGGGCAACATGAAAAAGCCATATTTAGGTGTTCCAATCGTTAGCTCCAGCTGAGCTCAACCAATATCAGCATCAATTATCAGAAACCAGGAATGAGCCAGGCGGTGGTGGCGCACGCCTTTATCCCAGCACTCAGGAGGCAGAGGCAGGTGGATCTCTGTGAGTTCGACCAGTCTGGTCTACAAGAGCTATATCCAGGACAGCCTTCAAAGCCACAGAGAAACCCTGTCTCGAAAAACCAAAAAAAAAAAAAAAAAAAAAAAAAAAAAGAAAAAAAGAAAAAAAGAAACCAGGAATGAGCCCTGGGTAATTCCAAAGCCAGCCATTGAGTTACCTTGGACTAGTCTCCCTACTCAGACCCTATACACTGTGGTGCAATGTCTAAATTCCTGACCAGGGCTCAGGAAGATAGCTTAGTGGTCAAAAGCACTCACTGAAAAATCATGAAGACTCAACAGTCATGAAAAAATCTGGGTGTAGAACACACCTTTAATCCCAGCACTCAGGAGGCAGAGACAGGCAGATCTCTGTGAGTTCAAAGCCAGTCTGGTCTACAGCTTGAATTCCAGGACAGGCAGGACTGTTTTGCAGAGAAACTTTGTCTCTATAAACCAAAAGTTAAAAATCTGGGTGTAGTCACAAGTGCCTGTAACCTGCGTGTTGTTTGTGGGACAGAGCAGAGACAGGAGGATCCCTGAGTGGCTATCAACCAAGCTCTGGGTTCAGCGAGAGACTGTTTTGAGTGAATAAGGCAGAGAAATGCTAGAGAAGGTCACATGGCATCCCTCTCTGACCTCTGCATGTGTGCACACAAATATGTGTGAACACCATACCTACATTGCACACACACACACACACACACACACACACACACACACACACACACACAGATACCTGACCCATAGAATCCATGCCCATCTTACACTTTATGGTCCTGGGGTATTTTGCTACCCCACAGAAAATACCTAGAGTATGGTCCATGACTCCAGCTCAGATCAGGCTCTCTTTGTCTGAATTACTGCAATTTTAGTTCAAATAATACTTGTAGCTGTTGATTTCACAATTTGAAAGTAGTGCATATCCTTCTTCCAAGACTCTAAGGGATTCTATTTTTTACAGGTATGCATGGCACACAGGAGGTGCTCACAGATAATCACTGGGTAAATAATATGTATTTCAATTTTTATTTTATTGTTTATATGTGTATGGGTGTTTTGCCTGTATGTGTGTCTGTTCATCACGTGCAAGCCCAGTGCCCTTAGAGGCCAGAAGAGGGTGTCAGATTCCCTGGAACTGGAGTTACAGATGATTGTGAGCCACCAAGTGGGTGCTGGGAATCAAACCCTGGTCCTCTAGAAGAGCAGCTGGTGCTCTTAACTGTTGATCCATCTTCCCAGCCCCAAATAGTTTTTATAGATTAATTCCATGTAATAAAGATCACAGAGACTTTCCGTTTTCTACTACACATTGCAGCTGTACTAGTTGCATCAAAAGCAACCCAGGACTGCTGAGATGGCTCAGTAGGTAAAGGTGTCTGCAGCCAAGCCTGATGACCCGCGTTTGATTCTCCAGACTGGCAGTGGGAGGAGGCACTTATCTTCTGACCTCCACACACATGCTGTGGTTTTCACTAGCCCTTGCCCATGCACAAAGCACACACAAACAAGTAGCCAAAAATGTAATATTGACAATAACAACAACACTTAAAAAGCAGAGCAACAATCCTGTTATGTGGAAATTTTCATGAACTGTCAGCTGTACAAGCCAGGAAGAAGCAGTTGAGTGTGAAGATCCAATATATGTCTAAAGGGTTTCTTTATTTTTCATTTATATGATTTTATTGGAAGAAGAGAAGGCTGTGAACCAATGCCTTGCCACCTCCTTGACTTAATTAAAAATATAGCCCCAGGGTTGGAGAGGTGGCCCTGAGGTTAAGAGCACTGGGTGATTTTCCAAAGCATTTAGGTTTGATCTCCTACACCCACATGTAGCCAACAGCCATTTGTGACACCAGTCCTGGAGATTTTATGCCTCTGTGGGCACACCAGGCACTCATATGGTCATATGGAGCCCAGATGTACATGTAGGTAAAACACTCATATACAACTGAATAATTAAACAGCACCTCTGGTCATTCTTCCATTCTCCAGGATCTCGTGGTCAGGTGTTGGGGGTGCTGGTGGTGGTGGTGGAAGGTCCAGCACAGGTAGGAATTCTTTTCTGAGAAAATTCTCTCAGTAGACACCAAACCAAAGCAGAGTTTAAGAGAAAAAGAAAGCACTTGCCATTGGTATGCTCAAGTTTTTTTTTTACGTAATATTTTTATTGATTATTCGGGAATTTCACATCATGTACCCTGATCACACCCACCTTCTAGT